TGTAATTTACCCCACAAACAGACTTGCGGTGGCTCTCTGACCGTATCAGCCAGGATACAAGGATGCATCGATGGAATTGGACGCCTCGGCGATGGTGAAGCGATTCCAACTTACACGATACTCCTGAAACTGGGAGGTCTTCATAGACAGAAGCGGGAGTTTGCACCTTGGCGTTCATTCGATGCGGAAGCACATCGTCGAAGTATCCAAGCATTCATTGCCAAGATGACATCGGGCTGTATGGAATGGTCCATGGCTACTAGATGATCTTGAAGAAACATGCATTTTGAATGTTTGAAGGCTATACAGTACATGCAAGGATGCTATTACTGTAGGTGGAGGCCATCGCTAGTAGGTTGGAGGCCATCGCTATTAAGAGCAAGAAGCTACTAGCAATCAGTCTGATTCGATTTGTGCAGGTGGACCTGAGCCTCTTGCGAGAGCCCTTCAAGCAAAACTGTCCAGTGAGTGTCCAAGTTGGCAAGGTGCGCCTCAAAAGAAACCGCAAGATGCCATAGGGATGCCAAAGAAGGTTCCGTCTAATTTCATCCAACTCATTCCAATTCTGAAAGCTTTGCGAGCAATTTGGATGACACTTCCTTTTCAATCCTTTTCAACTTCAAAAACCACCGGAACATGCGAGAATTCCACAAGTGAAGCAACAAGTTTCCTCACAGTTTCCTCACAGGAATGGCTTCCTGGTCTCGTTAGTTCAAGGCAAGCTCTTCCACTAGGCCAGGCGGCCAGGTTGGTGAATTGAACATGAATCGCCTTGAACTGTCGTTTCTGATGTTGAAAGGCGATTGTGGACAATTGGATTTCAATTGTTTTGGCATGATATTGCACAACCGATGTTGTTGATTTCAATGTGAAAGGCGATCTGCTGTGCGACATTTGATGTAGACATGTGATGCTCCTGCGCTAGGCTATACGGTCAATCTGCTAGAGAATGGTTCATATAATCTCAGTGGCAAGTCAGTGACAGCTGTTGCAGATGCTCGGCTTTGATGACCCGACAACCCAATCGAAGCTATATTGAAAGAGAACAGCTGGAGGCTATTCACAACCATGGCCCGCGCAGTCGCCAATTGAACACCATCACACACAATCCGCAACTTTGGGGTCCAACTACCGCACTAAGCAGTCCATGTTCTTTCCGATGAACTCACCAACATACGATGACCTCCGCACTCCTCCGGAGCCCTTAGACCAAACCGCACCAGTACCGGCGACCGTCACTGGTCAAGAGCACCAGCAGTTGGCTTTAGGCAGCCGAAAAAGCGGTCCCTGGTCAAAGCTGATGTGGATTTTGAATGATTTTGAGAGGTCAAATGGGCTAAATAGGCAGACGTAAACGAACAAATGTTCAGCAAACCTCCGTGTGCCTCAGGACCAAGTACGTCCAAGATTTCCCAACGGTCAAGCCGTCGCCACCTGGCGGATCGAGAATCAGGTCAAACACGGTCATGGTACCGAATGCAAAAGGCTTCATTTCGCAGCAACCTGAAAAATCCTGGCAGTCTTAAAGTCTTGGCCTGTTTGCCTGGCAGCTTGAAAATTACGTGAGATCGTGAGATCGTGAGGAAGTCTACCGTGGCGTGACACTGGGCTGGTTTCCAGGTGTCAGGATCTCAGCCAACCAGCCTGGCCTGAGACCTATGATTTTTGCTCACGCTTGTTGTTGAGGTGGCCCGAGCTGAGAAAGATAGTGAGAGTGGATGGCCCAAAGTTTCAATTGAGACACTTGGCCGGGAAGAGCTGTTGGGATTTTGCCTGAGAAGTAGACGCCGTTATTTTCCTTTGAGAAGAAGTGTCAAACATGTACTCTACTCCAGTCTTCGAAAAACCAACAAACAGTACGAATGTGGGACGCGTTGCTTGGCTTCGTATTTTGCCAAAGGATGGCACCGCATTGGGAAGCAGATACAACTGAAGTTGTGAGCTGTTTCCACTACCATGCTTCTGGGCCAGGTTTTGAAGTGAATATGCAAAATTTGCTGATTTTTTACATTTTTGCTTGTTTTACTTCATAGCCATGGTTTAAGTCGTTTTGCTTGGGTTGCATTAAACCTCAAAACGGCAGTTAACAGGACTGCACAAGAATGTTGCATTTGCAGATTAAGCGAACCCGATGTTAGCGCAACTAAATTCACTGCATGCTTGTCCGGAGTGGAGAGATGCTGACTCTGAGAATCAGTTTTGAAGAAGTTCCAGGTCAAGCTTTTTGTTACTAGGACGTATATATCTACACACTGATGTGAATCAAACAAGTAGTCCCTGCTGTCTTTCTGCAGGTTCGCATTCTGCCTGGAAAGATACCTATCTTGGAGAGCGGCCAAAGGTCTACGATGGCACTCTAAGAATGATTTTCATGTGCGGTGCAACTGTGGCTGCACAGTGCAGGGAACAGGGAAGGGGCACATGCGCTCAAGACACCTACAATACCACCTGCTAGCAAAAATAATTGCCTTCCCAACTTGTTTGACTCGCATAATTAGAGTACAGTAATTAGGCCAAAGGAACGCCTTCTAATTCTAGATTCTGGGCTGTTCTGCTCTTTTCTTTCTGCGTTTTGTCAGGTAAAATGTCGGAAGTCCCACGTCTGGCTGGTGCCAAGTACTTGGCTCACCAGATCCAATCCAGACTGGGTGCACTACGGCGGGAAATGGCGAACGTCATATTCCCCTCTTTTCTTTGAAGCAGTTGGCAGTCCCAGAAGGAGATTGAGAACTGTAGGACAACCGAGGGCCATATATTTGTTCCAGTTTTGTCACGAACCTGTTCAACACCATCTAGATCGATCTAGTACAACCAAGGATCGCCTGCTTGCTTTGTTAAACCAAAAACCTTGTTCATCGATTCATCTCGATCAATCTCATTTGTTGGGACTCTTGCCACCGATGGCACGAGCGCCGCCAGCTTGGTAGATAGGTTGGCTTTGACGCGGCTCCACCGTTTTGAGAAGCCGCTCTTCAGCGGTGAAAACGACGCTGCGCTGCAGTCACTCCCGATCAGACAAGATTCAAACGCTTTGTGTTGCACAGACTAGGTTGCAGACGTTTGTGGCAAAGTTTTAAGTTGGGAGTATTGGGGAGTCAACACGTACCCATCTGGGTCAATGTGCCTGTCATGTGCTTAACTCCCCATTGAGTTTGATATTGAGCTTGTTTCCGTCACAAGATCGGACAACAACGCCGCAACAATGATAGATGAGGAGTCGCCTTGGACGCCACTTGAGGAAAACTGCTCAAAGAATCCCAAGCGCACATGATTCATATGATGTGATAAAGCTGGTCTTGTTTGATGCTTGGATGTGGTTTCTCTTTCGCTGATTTCAAGTCGAACTTTAAGCCTCTGGCTCGATGTTTCAGGTGAGGGCCGGCCGCACGGATTTCAAAGAGACGATAATTGAGCGCGCCAAGAACCGCAAGGGTGCGCGGAATAGTGTCTCTTTTGTTGCATCTCCAATGGCCACGGCCTATCTTCCATGTGTTGGAGTCTTGTGATTTAGGTGGCAAGACCAACAAGGAGAATGCGCGGAACAAGCCGCTTCTGATGACCTTGCAGAGCACCTCGGCTGATATATCTGAGATACAGACCCCTGCTGAATTCATCTGAATTCTTCTCTGTACGCTCATCAATCATCACTAGCTTCATATACGATTCCCAGTCACCTGCCACCTTTAGTATTCTGACTTGACCACGACGAGGCGTTGAATTGGTTGCCATCCTGAAAGGGGTGCCATCGCAAAGGGACATGCAGACTATGCAGACTGCACTGGTGAACTGTAACAGCTGTAGCTCGTGGAAACAATCATATTGAAGACCTATCTTCACAAAAGCTTCCTGGGAAAACCAGGAAATCAACTGATCATGTACAAGTTGAACTATGTGACAGGATTGGATGAGGCTGCTAAGGAAGTGTAGAAAGAGAGGCCACAGGGCAATACATTTGTACTTGTACCATCCTATACCACATCACAGTGTGTTGGAAAGGGGAGTTTGAGGGGGTCCCTATTTCAATACACCCAAACAGTCTCCCACACCTTTGATGCTGAGGCAGAGCGGTGAAGGAGAAGAAGGCCAGGACAGCCAAGCAGAAGCTGAAGACGATGAAGGGCCACATCAAAACGTTGAGGCCAGCAAGTGTATGTTCCACCATGTCATACCGTCTCTGAACAGGTGCTCATGCCTCTCCCTTGTGCCAGGAAAAATGCAGCCCATCCGAAGAGACGGCGCTGAGGCTTCGAGAAGAAAGAAGTCTTAGAACGATACAGTTCTCCAGAGCTTTGAACAAAATTAGAGTTATTCAAAGCCCTGTGATCAAAGCTCGAAGCTCCTGCTGCGTTCACCAAATGAACGATATGCTCCAGTTTGCCTGTTGCACCCTTGAACATGCCAACCCGCAAAGCTATTCTCTTAAAGCTGAGGCCTTTGAGCTTCGCACCGCAGAGTGCGGGGCTTTCTGAGACTCGTCTCACTCCTCGGAGTTGGCTGAGGAATCGTCAGACGAAAAGACGTGTCAGCCACCGTCCGTGTCAGCTGTGTTCAACAGCATGTCCAGACGGCACTTGAAGTGCAAAGCATGTGCAGCACGACAGACGGCATTGACAATAACAGGATCTTGAGGCCGCCTCAAAGTGGCTCGTCAAGATTGAAGTAGATTCATCAATGAAGATTGGTTGCCCGGTATGCACAGACAAACCACGTCAAACCACTTGCGAAGAAGCATGTCAGGCAGAAATATGAGAGTGCAGTTTGACCACACCGCAGTTACACTAGTTGGCTTGGTTGAACCATTTGCATTTGGTATGACAGTTTGTTGCTCGCAGTACATTCAAAAGTGACAACTTGTGACACACACACACACACAATGAAGTGCTTATGTGGTCATGTGACTGACTTGACAACTCGTTCGGTTGGTTAGTTGATGTGGAGGCAACAGAGACAACCGAGCAATGCCAACGTCGAGGGTGTTTGCTCCTTCGCTCGGATAGCTGATGGCTGTCACACGCTCGTACAGGTGGGGTACCAAAAGCGTTGTGATTTGGAGTCACTGTGAGTGAGGCTCCACAAACATCCATATAGACATGCAAAGGAATGGGAATGTTGTGTGAGATGGCAGAGTGCAGTCAACTATCAGATTTAGAGTCAAAGAAACCAACTTGACCACAAAGCCATTGGAGAAACACATCGCATTGAGCAGATTGGAATGTACAATTGTGTAATGTCATTTGTTTTTGATGATCCTTCAATAACAAATGACATTATATCCCATTATATCAGATCCCATAAACCACCCACTATAACGCCATGGAACACTATTCCCACTATGGGATTATATCCCATTATTGGTTCTTATTCAGATCTTCAGAAACGCTACACGTCACGCACGATCTTCATGGCAACGCCAAAAGCTGCGCCAGATCTCTGGTGGAGGCTTTGCAGAACAAGGAGGAACGGCCAGTCATGTGCATATTCGAAGGTGAAGCATAGAGGAACTCCGCTTGATATAACTCATAGATCATCATAATAGATTTGTTGGGCTTGTTTTCGGAGCCATGACTTCAACAACGTGAAGAAGTTCCGAATTCTGACTCATTGCGAGCGCTTGCTTTTCTTCACATCATGTGGATTTCCGATTTTGGGCTAGCTTGAGGCACTTGTGGCCCAGCTGGAGTCTGAAGCCCAAGAAGCGCCAGATCCTAATCTGACAGACAAGAGACATTGAGGGACACCAGAGGCTCTGAAGTTTGGCCCCCAACAACAGTGATTCGTGATTTGTCATGTCATGTCTTTAGAGTCTTTCTTTACATTTATATATTTGCAATCTTTTTGACTTTAGTATACTTTAGTTCAATTGTTTGGCTTCAAGATGTCATGAGAATCTGGTCTTTGGATGTTCTTAGGATTCTTTGGCGTTCTGTCTCTAGGGTTCTCGTCCGGTCCTCCGTCCGCTCCCCGGACCTTGCGGTGGGTGATCTCCCGAGAGCCAGGCGTCAGCAGTCCAAGAGCCTCCGAGAGGAGGTCTTGTCCGAGCATCTCGGCAGCTGAGCGGTCAGCATGGTCAGTGGCAAAGGCAGTCTCTGTCTGAGAAAGTTTTTAAAACCAGTTTAAGGAAAGGGGTTAAAGTAAGTTGAAACATGTTGAGGCGACCAGGTTGGACTATCTGTTGTCACGATGCGTCCGTTGCCCCTCCGTTTCCCGGCCAAGTTTGCCTGTTCTGTTCTGCTTCCAGCAAAGAACGAAGCTCCCCGAAGCTCGCAGTTTTGGTTTCGCCATGGGCATCGCCTAGTCCGAAAGCTTGGGATCCACATTCGGGGCTGTCAGAAAGGTTCGCATTGTTTTAGGTATCCGATTCTTCTGAGATGAAAAAAGCATAAAAAAGCCATCAATTGTTTTTTGGACATCGAGGGCTCTCCTGTATGGAGCTACGGAGGAGAATGCCTGCTTCTCAGTCGGTGCAGTGTATGAGTATAGTTGCTGGTTGTACAGAGGTATTTCAAGTGACTCCAAACGTGGCGTGCTCGCAGGGATGCCTTGGACCAGCTTTCGAACCCAGTTTCGGTCGTTTTCATGATAGGTGGCAGCCCTTGAGATGTACCTGAGATCAGCGAGGGAAGAGGCACCGAAAAAAGGGGGAGGTTTGATCGATCGAGCTGAGTCACGTTTTTGTCAGGCAATGGAAGCCTGGTCGAGCTATGAAGAGCTTGGATGCCAAGAAGGGAAACTGACGAGATTGGACTGACTAGATTGACCTAGGGGAACACTAAGCGTTAAAACTGACTTTGCTGCGGCAGCATGTTGCACAGTCAATGCAAGCAACCAGACAGAAAAGGGTGGAGAAATGCACCCTGCAGAGGACAGGCAATCAATCAATCTGACACAATACATCACAATACTCATGATTCCTAATTAATACATTTAAGTATCATGATATGCGTGCACAAAAGTCGAACGGGTGAATGACCAAAGAGATTCGCTCACAGAGTCTGGTCAACAAACATATCAAGGCAACCACCATCGAGGCAGGACGGAAGCTCGGACGTATGTTGAGGCCATTGCAGACTGAAGCTCTCGCCTTGGCCGTCTCAAGGCGGGAGGCACGAGCCGGAGCCTGATTTGGTGAAGAGCAGATGAACTGAGCAGCTGTGAACACGAAAAATTTGAACCGAGCTCCGACATCTGAGGAGCTGGAAGAGCACTCCGCCAGTGGCTTTCAACTCGAATGTCACTTGTCAGGTTCCCAGGGAGACAGGACGAGTCGACAGGACGAGACATGAGGTCGGCGAGACAGGGAGAGACACGTTCCAGCGACGTTTCAGGCGAGAGGAGATGGAGAGTCTTCAGCATCAGCTGGCTCAGCTGGATCAGCACCACCAGGAGATTCATATCATTTCATATCATTTCATATCATTATATAGCATATTATATATAGCATATCAGTATAAGAAGCTACTAGGAGCAAAGGGCATCGCTACTAGGGGCTCCTGGCCATACTACTAGGAACAATGTTTGCTATTAGAAACAAGAAATCAAGTAGAATTTTAAAGTAATTAGGATTCAGTTTAATTAGAATTGATATGTCAAATATCGTATATCATATCGTTTGATCACAGCGACTCCTTTTTTCAGTGACTCCTGGTTTTCGCTCCAAAGCGAACATCGGATCCAACACATCCAACACCGACGGGACAGCGGAGGACGGTCCCCAGTCCCCGCCAACAGGTCGTATGACTTACCACCATGTTGGCCATCGTGATGGTAAGTCACGGGAAGTGAACCGCAATGCATCAAACGCCCTTATCATTCTTGAAGAAGCTTTTAATCCATGTATGATGTATGGAAGGGAGAGGAAGACTTTGGCTTAACACTCAGCGAAAGGTCCTGTGAATATCATGAAAGGGTTAGGTGTCGGTGTGGCTCAATGGATTCCCGGATTTCTTGCCAGAAAAGACAAGAAATCGATCCAATTTACTTTATGCGTTAGGGATGACTTTCTAGACTGTGCAGCCCAAATTACTGTATCCCAAATGTCTGGTGGTTGACCAGGCCACTGAGGGTACATATGTGCAATCATTATGAGTGTTGAGTTCTCCAGGGAGATGTGTATCGTAATTACGTGGCAACAGGTGAATGGTAGACTTTCTGACCTCAAACATGGGAGTCCAACTATCTTGGAATACACACACGACAAAACACACACACACACACTTGTGCCAACATGCAATTTGCTTCTCAGTGAAGACTGGACCGCAGCTTTTGTCATATCAATTAAGGTGAACATGCTGAGGACAGATGCATTTTCGACCAGCTTGCACGAACACACTCAAGTTGGAAGCCAAATATGTCCAATAAATATACATGTCCCCCAAAATTAAGAACTAGAACAAACAATAGATACAAGATGATACACATATTATAGCTGGAAAATACTAAGCAGCTCTCCAGAGGCCCAGATTGACAACACCAAACTCGGTTCATGTATCATGGACCCTGGCATCATGCCCATGGCCGCCCTGTGGTCCCCTGGACCTTGGGTTGAATTCTTTGCTTTGCTTGTGCCGTGCCTGCAAAGGGTCTGACCGATTTTCAACCTCTGTAGCTGCCAAAGGGTCGATTGAAAGGCTCCAGTTGATCCCATCGCTATCCTGCAAAGGATTTTTTTAATGCCTTTCAGTTGGGTTCTGCCTTTGGTTCCTGTACCAAATGGCAACACCATGCAACAGCCTCTGTCAGGCCAGCATAGTGAGCAGCCTTTGGCTGCTGAAAGTTTGCTCGCCTGTTTCGAAGCTTTTGTCCAGCAGGCAGTCAGAGTCTCAGTCAAGCGGGGAACCTGTGATTGTTGGATGTTGATTACGTGCCTTTTGCTCTGCTTCAAAGCACTGTTGTACTTTGGGTCCTGTTTAAACGACGTGCAGGCCCTCTTTACACGGAAAACCATCAGGCTTTTGCTGCCAGTGAGAGCTTTTGCACTTGCCCCAACAGTGTTCCAATAGACTTTTGACCCATCCCATTTCCTGCTTTCCGGAAACAATGATAGGTCGTTTGCCGGGGACTGTAAAGTTAGGTCGTCGCATGAGCTGAACAATGCATAGAAGGTGCATAGAAGGCTAAAGTGTGTTTTGGCTTCGACAATTGGACGTTTGAGGATTGTAACGGTCCATAGTGGCGGCTCTTCAAGGGGCTTAGTAGTCTGCAAACAGCAGCTGTGCGTTTTTGAGGCTTTGGCACCTGGGTTTAGCAGATTGCGCCGGGTGCTCAATTTTCTTCACGAGAATTTGAAGGAAAAATAATGAAGATGGGCGTGGTCTTTCTCCATCGACACCCACACCCCCATTTTGCGCTCGTGCGGCTAGCATTTTTTGCCCGGTCTTTGGTGACTTTTCCTTTCCTTTGAAGGACACGGACAACACCTGGTTCATCCGTTCTTGAAGCACCCGGATGCTGGATGATTTTTGCATGTTTGAGTCGAGTTGGAGAATAGAGGAGACTTCCAAGCACTGAAAGAGAAGATACTTTTATGGTAAGAGCAAGGAAGTCTAGCTTTCTGTTGCTGAGACCGTTCCAAGGTTCATGCATCTATCCAGCTGATGTTCTCAGAGTACCCAAGCTGATTGGTAAGACAGTAGAGCACCAGGCACCCAGAATCGCTCGCTTTTACCAAGGATTCCGCACGATGTCATGTTCTTGGAGCCACCTTCCCTGGAGGTTGCACCTTGGATTTGGCAATTTCAGAGCTTGGAGACACAACTTCAAACTGCCAAGCCAAGCAAGCTACCTTTTTTTGTTGGCGATCGGGCAGAATTCTGAACATTGATTGTTTCACCGAGTAGCAGAGATTGAACGAACACCGGAGCTGTTGACAAGTTGTTCATGGTTTGGACTGCGAGCCCAGGCATATCGCGTCAGGGCTGCAATCCACTTCTGCCTGATCACTCTCTGAAGCTTGGCGCCTTATTAGCGCGCAAAACAGTCGTCAAGCCGAGTTTTCTCAGATTACGATCACAGCGTTGGGGATCTCCCAGTTTTCACGCCCGGTTCGGCAGCTGCAACCGGGCACTGCATCACAGACCTGCGACCGCAGGTCTAGTAGAGGTGCAAATCGCTGCCACCGTGGCGACCGCCAGCTATAGAAACTTCAGCATCGCCACGCGACTGGGTAAAGCTGCTCGGACAATGACGGTCGATGCAACACGGCAACGATATCTTGTCTTTCATCAAATTAGTTTTGCATATTATTACCATTCAATGACATGAGATGTTGGGAAGTTCATGGACATGATCCTACTGGTATTGTAAATCATGGTTTGGAAATTCAGCTCCTGGGCAATTCTTTCTGCCTGGGTGGACGTTGTTCATTCTTCTTTGGTTTTGGTCTCCACCCGCCAGACTGTTCTCTTTCGAAAGCGTTCGCTATTTGGGGAAACCGCACAAAGCTGTTCAAGTGTTATCCATTTCTACACGTTCCATGCATGACTTCATGCAAGGTGCTTCCCTACAGCTGGCTGGTGGCAGCCTTCTTGGTCGTACTGGACTATTCAACATTGAAACAGCACACGAGTCACAACTGCATCAGCCGACTTGGCATGCTACACAATGGTTCGTTGCTCGCAGCTGTGTACATGAAACGACCAGTTGGTCCTCTGTGCAACTTCTTGAAAGCACCTAGGAAAGTTCTACGGTCCGGGCAAATCACCGGTTCAGCTCCAGTGACTTATCGAAGAAGGGTGGAGAGTCTGAGCAGATGCTGGCAGTCTTGTCCCACCCAGTCTCACAGTCCGTCCTCGAACACGTGGGAGCAACACACCTTTCCGCGACATCTAAAGCACACGTCGCAGACTGCTCTTCGTCATGGCTGAAAGACGGCTAATACCTAGAATTTGTTTGACCTGCAGACTGCAGATGTTGGTCAACGTTTGCTTTAGAAGGAGGTTTTTGGTGGCACCCTATTTTTGAGCAACCGATATCAATAACCCACAAGACATCTAATTAGTCCAGTAGCACAGTGCAATTTGCTGGTAGATTAGATACGACTGAGGACCACCGGACTATTCACAGTTGACACAACAGGAACTCACGGGGGGTGCAAGTGTGCAAATACACAGGGTCCAAGAGTCCATATGTTCGCGTTCGTCACAGAAATCCAACCTCCAACCGAGGGATGAAGTTGCATGCAGTTTGTACTTTGGGTCGAAGCAAGGTGGTGGCTTTAGTTATGGCAGCTTGCTTTGTCGCCACTTTCACGCTGCTTCTCGGCAGCATTTGAAACTTTTGATTGTGTGGCATGCTTGAAACGTCCTTTGCATGACGACCATGGTGAATCCAAAATCGTTTGCACTTTGCAGGTATCTTTTGGCTGTGGTGCAAGTGACACGGATGAGATGCAACAACAACGTGGTTTGGAACACATCCTTCCAGGCTTTATTGTATCCATTGAACTTCACCATTACCGTCCCTTGGTTGGTCCGCTCACTGTGTGCACGTGCCGACTGATTGGCCGGTGAAGATTGTGGAATCTGCTCAGGCTTACCAAGCAAAACACATTCATTTTGTCTTGCTCAATTGTGGCCATGAGACCATCAGGCCCGTTTTCTTTGTTACTTCATGTTACTCCTAGCTTTGCACTGAAGGTTTTCCCAACGTGGTTCATCCACAAGAACTACTTCAAGGAGATGTGGTGTTTTTGTGGTAGGTGGCCCGATGGCCAATGGCGGTGGATCATGTTTCTTCGCATCCAATTATGTATATATAAGATTATATAAGGCCTATTAAGGCCATTCTTCACCATCTACTTTTTTTCCCCAAACAGTGTGGACACACGGTTCTTACGGTAAGTGTTAAGCACCGGTGTCTAATCAAGGTGTCGCGCGGGCGTGTGCGGCTAGTTCGCTGCTATTTACAGTACATTCATGCCTCTCGTTGTGGTACCGTGCGCATTTTCGGACATGGTGATGGTGGTGATCTTCGAGGCGCTCTGATTTCGTGACAGGTGCAGTGAATCGTGACTTTTGAACACGTGGCTCTTTTGCAGATTTTGTGGCAGGTGCAGTACTTTGTCGGGCCTTGAAGTGTAGATTTTGTGGCGCGGCGCAGCACTTCGCGAACCTCGAAGTGCAGACTTCGTGGCAGGGACAGCAGCTTGTGAACCTCGAAGTGTAGATTTCGTGGCAGGCGCAGCACTTTGTGAGCCTCAAAGTGCAGATTTCGTGAGCACTTTGTGAACCTCGAAGTGCAGATTGCATAGCAGGGGCAGCAGTTTGTGAACCTTGAAGTGCAGATTTTGTGGCAGGTGCAGCACTTTGTGAGCCTCAAAGTGCAGATTTTGTGGCAGGGACAAAGTGCAGATTTCGTGGCAGCGACCCCAATTTGTGAACCTCGAAGTGCAGATTTTGTGGCAGGTGCAGCACTTTGTGCACCTCGACGCTCTCGATCTGAAGAGCTCTCGATCGCACTCTGTGGTATCTGACGCGTGCTCTCAGACGTTCTCTCACTCTCACTCCCACCACCACCACCATCACCACCACCACAATCTCCACCTTCATCACCACCATCACCTCTCTGGACCCCAATGCGTCTAGATCTCTATATAGACTTTCTGTTGCTACACCTCTATAGACCGCACACACACAGTGTTTGGGGTCTCTTGCCGATAACTTGGGGAGGCAATCAAAGCCCCAATTCGAAGCAGTCTCTTTCGACTCATGTGGATGTTGGCCGGCACCAATTAAATAGAGAGACCCCAAGCAGCAGCTTGCATTGAAATCAAGCCTAGTGAGTTTTTCGCTTCTTGGAGAGTCAACGAGCACCTTCTGCAGGACTCCGGACATGGACTACACCATTGGGTTGCCGCCGTGTCAGAGACTTAGAGACCAGTGCTCAGTCACCCACACTCGGTGAAATCAACACCAGGCCAGCACTGCAGTTGACAGCGCGCTGAATCGTACAATCGAAATGAACTCATCACACCATCGCGTTGAAATCGACCAGAAACAGATCCTGAAAAAGGAGACTTCAAAGGAGACCTGGCCACAAGTGGGCACAAGCGGCGCGAGCGCAAGCGGTGCTTGCACAGTTCTTGCACCGTTTGGTTTTCCACGGAAACCGTTTGGCTAGCACTCTCGATGCATCAGGTGCCTTGACAGCAATGGCTGGATCAATGCTCTGACATATGGCTATCAAAGCTTCAAGCTTGGGCCACAGGCAGGACATCGGATATCCTGATCAAGTAAATTTAAGTAACATATGTATTGTTGATGTGTGTTGGCCGTTTTCGCCGTGTTGCTTGAGCGTGTCGCTTCAGAGCTGTCGCCAGGATGCCTTTGGAGTCCTGCCAGGCCTTGACGTTTCACTGCTGGAGAATTCTGAGGCTGTTGGCTTCGAGGTGTCATGATGCCAGAAGTGACTTGGAAGACCAGAAGTCTTACTGTAGGCTTCGAAGTCTACATTCTTCGAAGCTGAAGGGCGACTTTTGCCCTCACTTGCTTGAAAAAGCTTCACAAGCACGAGCTTTTCCAAAACATGCTTCCGCGAGAGTAGACAAGGCAAGGGCCTTGTTTACGATTTCATTGCACAGTGCGGAGAGCCCCCATAATTTATGCAATAAACAATGAGGTGCTCAAAAAAACTGTCCTATTGCACCAAGAAGGAACCGTGCAAACAGCGCCGGAACGTTTGTGGGACACCGTGGAACAGTTGTCTTCCAGCAAGGACTCTTCAAAGATTGCAAAATCTATCAAACAGGATCAAACAGGACTTGCCCATGCTCACCATATTTTGGCCGATTTGCACGGTGAGTCACAGTCCAAGAAAGCTTTGCAGGTGGTCACGGTTTCCATGTGACCTCGTGCTGGCTGGAGGCCAACACGATCTCTGCCAAAATTCTAGCAGTGGTGGGGTCTTTGCTGGTGAGTATGACACTTGTTGTAAAGGTATGTTTGGAGGCTCACATAGGCTCACAAAGCGCCGTGGAGAGAATGAATCAGAATACTTGAGTACTTCGACCAACCACTTCAACCAACCGTGTGAAAGCACGATGCCTTCATCGACGAATATCACGCTTCAGACCGGCAAAGCCCCTGACCCTTCGGGATGAACCGAAGCAACTCTTTCCACTTTTGAATGTTGGGAAGAGACCCATCAGTATGCACATGTATGCAGTGTCCTTGCGAGAAGGAACCTCTTCCAAACTTTTGCGAATATGTCCTTCATTTGAGTAGTTGCCCCATGATCAGATGGGCGAGCGACTCATCGACTCATCGACTATCTGCTTGATCAAACAGGTTCTGCCGTTGGCTCCATTTGAAATCACCGTGCTCCAGTTGCGTTTCAATAATATGTTTGCTTTGATGGGCCGTTTGAGGCCAAGATCCAATTTCAGGTTTTTTGATCAACCGGTCGAATGTGTTCTTGCAGGACCGTGCACAAGCGCACCTGCATTCCAAGAAGAAGGCGCTGGGCCGGAGCTGGGCCTTCTGCCCCACAATGATGCGAACTTGAGATGCCACAGGCAGCCGATTTGGATGACTTGGTGCAACACTTAAAGAAGCAGACTGAGCGCCATGAGGCGCCAAAGGGCACCATGATGCTTGGATCTTTGAATGAACACCACTTGAGGTGATTTGAGGTGGACCTGATGTCATGCCAGGCTGCTATCTCACATGCGAAGACGACCGTGTCAAGTCAAGAGGCGACAAACCAGATGTGTGTCTTGAGTCTTGAAGCGTCTTTTGATGCTTTTTGGTTGCAAGAAGAGAGAGAGGATCCATGATCATGTTGCAGCAACTACCCTGAAGCGCAGCGTTTTCCACGTCACTGTGATTTCCAAAAATCGTTTGGAGGCAGAGCTCACAAAGCTGGAGCAGATAGCCTCAACACATCAGAACTGGCCTCAGAGTGCACTCAAACTGTGGCACCCACCGCTCATGTATCCTACCTCTTTGTTCACCGGGGGGTTAAGACCCTGTGGAAAGGATGTTCTTGGGCTCGTGACGAGCTCCACAGCGAGGTCACGGGTGCATGCTGCGCGGCATGAGCTAGACTATGTTGCCGCTGACCTAGCAGCCCTCTGGATTTGCCGCTCAAAACATCTCAGCCAGAACTGCAGATCAGCGAGAACTTACAGCATAGAGCCGAGATAGCATGGTAGAATCCAACATGCTAGAAAGGGAGTCAGGTTTTCCACAAAGGTGTTTGGATGGTGAAGTTCTCCCGAAGAAAGGTATTGTTGATGCTTCGAACAGCGAGTTAGCACCTTTTAAACATGTACTGTATGTGATGAAAGAGACACCCAGAAAAGTACCTGCACCAAGCACCTGCACCGACGCCCTGCCTCCAAACCAAGCACAGCCAACTCATTCTACATTTGAAGTAAGACCCCATAGCTTTCGCTATTTGTGGACAACATAAATGTTAAATTACACATACTTCTATACATTTTTGCCAGCCAGGCAATGGAAAATTGATTTGATATATTTTTTCATTTAGATCTTCATTTAGATCTTCATTTAATTTACAAAATATGTTTGTGGTTCTATTTTTTTTGTTGCATCATGTTCATCCTTCCAGAATTGGCTGGCTTTGCTGTCACTTCCCATGGGCTTCTAAAATCACTTCGGTCACAGTCAGCACCCCAAACTATAGATGCGTGAAGGGATTGCCTCACCCATCCCTTCCCGAGCAATCGAAACCACGGATCAAAATCGTGGAATGCAACTTGCGAGCTGCTGAGCTAAACCACTGGGCCCCAAAAGCCTGAGCCTGGTGGCCAGAAATTTGTGTCATACAGGGATGGGAGGTAAAACAGGTTAGTGAGGAGACGCCCTCGCCCTAGCCCTGAATGAAACTAAAATGACACATGAAATTGTCAGAAACAATATAAACAATCATGACCCAATTGAAAACCAAAATGACAGATGAAAAGAACATGATTAACCAAATGAACACCAAAAAGACAGATATATTTAAAAATGATGAACCAAAATGAACACCAAAATGAGAAGTGAACAAATGATGAACCAAATGAAAACCAGAATGCCCCACGAAAAAAACCATAAACAAAAACACTGAACAATGAAAAGCAAATGAAACATGACAAAAGAAAAAAACAAAGGGTAACAAACATGAAAAGTGTTGTTTGCTCATTCCGGATCCGTAACCAACTAGCCTAGCAAAGAGGGTTCAGGACTAGCTGACTTGGCCGCCTTTCCTTCAGGGGAGGCAATTTCAATTGAGCCCCAGAATTCTTTTGTCTTTCATGATCGTTTTGGCTAGTTTCGGCCACAAATTGGCAACATTGTAATTTAATGAATGTGTTCATATAATTGAATGTCTTCATTTTGTTTAAGTTCAGCTAGTTTTGGCAACGCGTGAACGACAGTCAAGTACATTTCAAAACAGCTAAAGCAAAATAGAAGAACATGACTAGCCGACTAGGGTACTGTAGCAAAGAGGGTTCCGGAGTAGGTGACTTGGCAGCCTTCGGTTCACGGGACACAAACGATAGACACAATCACGCATGACAAAACACAGGTGGGCGTGTAAAAAATGATGACGCAAACGAAAACACAATGAACAACTAACTGTTTTGTCCAATCCCAGTCTGTGGCTGTAAGGTTCTCTTAACTATACATGTGTAATATAGAATGAAGTGAATACAAGAGTTGAATTCTTTGTCCTGGGGTACAGATCAGCATGCGCCTCAGTAAATTGAATTAACTCCCAAGTTAATGTTGTTTGTCACCCCGGCTTCTTTCCAGAAGCAATTTCAGAGTCAATTCTTCATTGTTTCTTTCTGTATCAGACCCCTTCAGGACACCTTGAAATAGTTAAGTCCAGAGTGACCTCGTTTCCTGCCTTCTGTGCCCCTTGAACATGAATTATATGTAATATAGATCCAGAGTCAATTCTTTGTCTGATGTGCTTGTGAGTCTTCTCTTGTACTGTGATTGTGAGTTTTGGCTACAAGATGGCAGTTGCGGCCCGCCAAGCGGGCAGACAGCTGCCAGCATGGCAAGAGATAGAGACGCGGTGCAGCTCAATGGAGCTACCCTTCGTTCTAGGGCCTTGCAATTGGCTTGAGCAGGAGAACAAGATGACTAGCAGGAGAACCAAAATCTTTCATCTTCAGCATTGGAAGACGAATGTCAATGAGCTCCTGCTGGGGGCAACAGGTCCGTGCGGCTTGAAGGCATGGCCTGATGGAAAGCCTCACCTCCGTTTCTGAAGACCATGAGTCGCGCAGCTTTTCTCCTGAAGAAATTGTGGAGATGTCAAAGCAAGAGTCATGGCCTTTTTGATTGCGCGTCGCAGCGCACTGGAAACTGATGAGTCAATGCGCCATGTCAAGTGCCTGTTGGAGAAAGATGGCGTGGCTGAGATCAAAGCAGGGCCTGGGAATGCGTTTTCTCTGAAGAATGTGAAAGACCTGGGGGACAGAAGCGGTCTGAGAGCTTGAAGCTACTGCTACGTGCGCCTGGGAAAAACGCGTTTGTCAAAGGGACACTTCGGAAAGACTTTGCTTGGCATTTGCTGGAGCCGTTCCGGACTCATCTATCTTTGCAAGGCCCGTACGCAACGTTCTGCACGGTGTAAAAGCCCGAGAACATGTGGAAGCTTCTGCAAGAAGCACTTCAAGGAGGCACAGTCACAGAAGTATCAGTCGAAACTCTTCGATGATCAACTACCTGCTTCTGGAGCCATGGATGCACGGGAGCAGTCTCAAATGCAGTTAGCTCTCACTCTGTCCGTGGAGGAGAATGAAGCCCGTGAAGCAAAATGAATAACAGAGTGTAAAGAGAAATGACAGGAGATTGAAGTGCCTTGGGCTTCTGAGAGTTCCAATGCCTAGGGAAGGGGCTTGCCAGTTGGAAGCCTTGTGCCACGCTGCTTCGCTTCCAATGTCGCCCTTGGACCTTTGACTTGCAGCTATCAGATACCTAGAACTGCTGAAACAGACTGACAAAAACTCCGGAGTTTAAACTTTTCTGGTTGCTACTTTTTCCCACCTTCCTATCTTCCTAACCCTACCTAACACTTGAAGCAGTTCAAGGTTAAGAAGAAAAGAAAAGACAAGAAAAGAAAAAATAAAGAGATATACAAAGAGAAGGAAACAAGGAGACACAGGGGAAAAAATTAACTCCACAGAGCGTCAGAGCGCTTGTTTAGAATTCAAAACAGCCAAAGGTGAAGAGGAAAACAAAAGAACAACATCTAGACAGAGAAGGAAACAAGGAGACAGACTGAAAAATATCAATTCCAGGATTCCAGAGTTGCATAATTCTGTTTTGGCGCTACTTGTTCCCACTGTCCTAATCATCTTTCACCCACCTAAAAGTCTAATTAGTTAAACGGTCAAGAATACAAGAAAGAGATAGAGAAAGAAAAGGAAACACGACGACGCACTGAAAGCGAATTGACTCCAGCCTTTTTTTGGTGGCCAGTTTGTCCTACCTTCTTATCTTCCTAATCCTCTGTCACCTACCCAAAACCAAAAACGGCTTGGTCAAGAAGAAGAGAAAAGAAAGAGATAGACAAAGAGAAGGGCACAAAGAGACACCGTGAAAAAGAAAATTGCAGAATTAATGTTTGGCTAGTTTGTCCCACCTTCTTATCATCCTAATCCTTTGTCACCGCCCTAGAACTCAATACAGCTAAAGGGGAAGAAGAAAACAAAAGAACAAATAGACAAAAAGGAGGACAAAAGTAGACTGAACATGATTTATATAACTCCAGAGTTAATTCATGTTTGGTGGTTACTTTTTCTCACCATCTTATCTTCATAATCCTCCTTCACCTACCCAAAATTCAAGACAACTAAAGGTCAGGACGAGGGAGATAACAAAGAAAAGGAAACAAACAGACGCATTTAAAGAACTTTTTCTACAGAGTCAACTCTTTATTTGCACCAGCGGCGAAAGTGACAGAATTAGCTCCAGAGTCAATTCTGCTAGAGTTACAGGCTGAACAGGGTAAAAATTAACGCATTAGCCCTGGAGTTAATAATGCTTAACTCTTGTTTCAACCTCTTCTTTGTAATATCAGGTTGTGGATGATTTTAACTACCTTTTGACTACTGGATGAATAGCTACTGCTGCGCAGACTTTCATGGACTTTGTCCGTGTCCACTTAAAGGCTTGTATTCTGGAAAACGTGCCCAGAGCTGTGTATATATAGATAGGATGTTCGACTGAGGTGAAACATACCCCGAAGCAGTAATAACTCCCGAAAATGCAGTTGTTTTAGTCTCCGCACTGCAGGAAGCAGACCCCAAAGCAGACCCCTAAAACATGATGCCTCACATGGTTCCCCTGCTTAGCTTCGATGTCCGAACTGTATCCGAATCAATACCGTCCTGGCGCCGCAAAATGACCGCAAAACGCTCATCCAAAGCGAAGCCCAAAGGGAGATGACAGCCATGACGGGTGACAATCTTTTCTTTTGGATGCCGGCTAATCTTACCAATGGCCACGTGATTAACTGCAGTTGGCAGGCTAACGAACCAACCTTGTGGGCCTCTTTTCCTCTTTACTTTAGATTGCCTATTCACAACGCTTCACGACGGTAACCGCCCGCAGCGCATGGGAGGGCTCAAAGACTGCAGTCATGCTCCAGCAACGGGTCAATAGGTAGGTACTTCCATTGAACATAGCCCCAGAAGTCACCCCCCCCAACGTGGCCGAACATAGCTTCCATATTGCCTAACATAGCGCTAGAATGTGGGAACGTCGCAAATTGGTGTATCTTTTCCGCAGGTAGCTCGAGACGTTCGCCGGATATTTGGCTCAACAGGAGCAGAGATAACGTCTGTTCGGTCACGTTGGGGGGCTTTATTCCAGTCCCTTTTGAGCCCTAGTTGGGCTATGTTTACGACGTTCAAGTCCCTATCTCGCAGACACGTCCTTTAGATAGCGACTTCTAGGGCTATGTTAGGCAATCTCTTTACTTGTTTTGCGTTCAAGTCCCTATCTCGCAGACACGTCCGTTAGATAGTGACTTCTAGGGCTATGTTAGGCAATATGGAAGCTATGTTGAGCCACGTTAGGGGAGCCTGTTCAGCCAAATGTCCGGCTTCAGTCCAATTACACTTTACCGCGCAGATGATTCAAATCATGCAAAGGAAGAAAATTTCATTTCTTGCATCAATTCAAATCATGCAAAGGAAGAAAATTGCATTTCTTGCATCACCAGGGGCTTCAACATAGCACGAATTCATCTTCCAGCACTTTAAGCCGGTTCCAAAAACGTGAAAAACACAGGATTCTAGAGCGAAAATGCCCCCCCCTAGCTAAAGCTATTGGCTTGCCCAGGCTAGCTTACGTATACCGCGTGCCCTATAAAAACGCCTCGGCACCTTCGGTGCGGGCGGATTTTCAGCTGATCAGCAATGAGTCATTTTGTTCATCAACCTGCCGTGCACCCCCAAAACGACGGCGAGATGCATCTGACAGCGCAGACAAACGCAGAGCATCGCTTGGACGCCCTGATCACTCCTGCGATGTTTGGACTGCCGAGGCAAAAGAGCTGTCTGACAGGCACTGGGCTCAGACGAAGGAGCTGCTTTTGATGAGTTATGTTCTTTCTTGTGCGTGAACCCTGTCGGGTGTAAATACATCTCTTTTCTGAATGCTGCTTGGAGCTGGTAAGAGATGCTCAGAAATGAAGTGAACATTTTGAGTACAGTTGGAACCCTCCAGACTCCAGACCAATTATGACCAGTTTATACACATCGGTGCCGTTCAGCTCATCAAGGCTGCACTCATTCCATAGTGCTGTCTCAGTTTGATGTACTGAGATTCAGGTCTGCTTCACAGTCAGGTTTCCAGCAGCAGGCCTAATACTGTAGTTTGCATTCACATTTTTGTGATTTTTCGCTCCTTCATTGTTTCTTTGAACAGAGACAACGAATGACAACGATCTTCTCTGAGAACTATGGCAGCTTCGCATAGACGGTCAAACCTTGTTGCAGTATGTCGCAGTGCCCTTGAGGGATTTTGAGATTGTCAGTTCTGATATTTCCTGAATGCAGGTGTCCATCCTGCAGCAAGAGCTGCAGGCACAAGAAGCACAGCTGGAGGTTGGACTGCAAGCATGATGTTAGTTTTGCCGCTTTGCCGCATTTACAAACGCCTCATTATCATTTCCTCTGCAGCCACTCAGCATCAAAATGCTGCAGCAAACACCTCTCAAGGGTTTCCTCATGTGTGGTCTTGCTAGCGCGCATTCCAGAGGCAAAGGTATGCGAATGTACAACGTAGTAGCTAAAGTAAGCAGTTGTGTCTACACCATTTGTTTGCCTTCATGCTGTGGCCATTACGCTGGAGCCGTTCGCGCCGCAGAAGGTTCCTGATCAGAGCATATGCAGCGTGGTTGCATACCAAAGTCCCAATATGTGATTGTTTTTTTCAGAGTTCCAACAGCTTCTCAGGATTGGTGCGTAAACTGGTCGAGCCCCCCGTTGTAATTAGTGGACACATGTCCGGTTTGGTGTTTCCGGAAAATGGAGGCTAGACAGCACCGTAGAGCTGGCCTGACTGCAGAAGTCGATGGAATTGCATCTTCACTTGAGTTGATACTATTGCGCAGAGAACGGCGCATGCGTGTCAAGGTCATTCTTGGTGTAACATCTCCACTTTGTGGTACTCGTAACTGACATGTTGGGTGGGGGAGCATGGCAAATGCTGTCTGTCCATGCTAGGTGTTCCGGTACTTGCTTGGACCATTGAAAAGGTCAAGCCCATCCAAGCCAAACCTGTTGATGCCAGTTGCGAGATGGTTTTTGGGGGATCCATGTATACAGGTATGCCAGTTGTGTATTGTGCCTTTGTGCAAAGGTCCGGTGGCCATTGTGCAACGGTTTGTGCCTTCGTGCGTATTACATGATCGCTACGTTCGGGTGGAGGCCATCGCTAGTAGGTTCGCCAATTGTGCGTATGTTTGTGCCTATGACTTTCTGCCCCTACCCAAGTTTCCACATCCAAGGCCAGGATGCGGCAGGAGCTTGATGTCTGAAAGATGCCCGCATTGAGCCTGGCCAGCGCCTCAGTGACTTGAGATTCGCCAGTGACCGTGTGAGGGCTTGGAAAGCTGAAACCTAAGGCGAGAACCGAGTTGGCGCGGCTGGTCAGCGTTTGCGGATGAGAGAGCGCCAGCTGTTCTTTTTGATTGTTTCATGCTGTTTCTGTCGAAGTATGTCATGAAATCGATGTGAACTTTGCGAACTTCGTGAACTCATGGTTGCGATGTCATTGTAAGGCAAAGATATCCCACATCAGGAATCATCTATGACCAGGTGCAGCTTCTATATTCTGTTGTTGATTTGCCAACATTGACATCATTGACTCAAACTGTGCGTGGCGCAAGGATTCGAACCTCTATTTGAAAGATCCTTCATACTGGAATTATTGGGCGGCTCAGCACAGACATGGAGCTGACATTGATTGTTTTTGTTACTTTTTCTCAGACTCGTTTTCCGCTGAAAAGCGCTTTTATGTTTCCTTTCGATAAATCACCGACCTCACGTTCCTCAGGATCGGCCAACCAAGCCAGGCTATCCTGCGGACGACGCTTGGGATCGCCGCGAGTGCAGCGATGCGACCTGCGCACGAGCGGTAGGTAGGAATGGAGATACGGAGACGGTCGGAAATGAACATGAAATGGATATGGTCGGAAATGGATGATTGTTTCATGCTGTTTCAATGTCTTAGATCCTTCTCTTCTTACCTCAGGATCAGGTGCAGAGCTATGTCACGTCGCCGCCCAACGTCTGGTGGGAGCAGCGTGATTTGCCTGCACTGGACGTGTTTGCCCGGAGTGTTTCGCCTGTGTTTCTCTGTGTATCGGACGGTGGCTTCAGGTCGGCTCTGGAGAAACAAGTGGAAACAGCTTGGAACAGGCGATGAGGGTGAGGCGCAGTTTTTCTTCGAGGGCCCAGCTTGGAATCGATTCATTTCAACACATTCCGACTTTCTGGTGCAGCGAAGCATTTGAAAACGACGACGATGTATATAGTTATACTGTTCTCAGGCGATCTTTCCATACACTGGAGAGCCGCCACCTGGTTGGACACTTTTCCGCAGCTTAGATATGTTTGGTATGTTTGGACAAATGAATAACATTGTTGCTTCGGGAAAACAAGGGACAATTTGTCCAAACAGTTATGATCCACCCCAGTTATGATCCATCCAGACAAATTTGTTATGATCATAACTGGGGTCTTCCCGTCGTTTTGTCTCCGATTCCGAGGAATGGCCGTTGTGTCAAGGAGCCAGGGCTCCTGAAGGCTGACTGGGGACGACCCAAGTTGTGGTGGGAGTGGCTGGAAGGGCCGTGGCTTGATTTACATTGAAATTTACATGATACATTTTTTGGGGGGGAATTCGAGGAAGAAGTTGGAACAAGCACATTTCATTTACTTGACAGTTTGTTTTTACAAGTTGTGTTGCAAGTGACTTTGTATTCCAATGCAAATAGAGTGCACCTAAGGCAAGATCCCCTAGATTGGACGAGTGGGCTAAAGTCAGCTGCTGCTTCTGCCGCCGGAGACTTCATGGGTCAGTTTTGGGACGATGACAAGCACCTTTGACTGAAATCTGAGAGCTCTCAGCCTACATACCTACTCAACCAATTTCAACCAGCGTCGCTCTGCCATCGATGCATTCGGCGTTGGAGGTCGTTGACATACTGATTTGGCACTAAAAGTGCCACCCCTAAGGTGCACTCTTCCTATCAAGCTGAGCTCACCGACTTCCAAGTATTGGGCAGAGGATGGGCAAGCTGGTGGCGAAGCGGAATTAAGACCAGTCCCCTGAGAAGTTTGCTCCTAGTAGCGTCCTAGTAGCGTCCTTGTTACTAGTAGCGATGCCAGGAGCCCCTAGTAGTGTCCTTGTTACTAGCAAGAATGCTAGTAGCATGTCCTGGCTGGTTCTCAAATGGTCTCAAAAGATGACCCCAAGCAGTGCCAGAGTTGTCCGCGGCTGGTTCGCACGTTTGAAACAACCCAAGGGTGATACGGTGTGGTGACAGTTGCGTGTAAAAAGGTAGACAGGAAAGCACCAAACATATTTTCGGGTTCAAGGTGTTAGCCTTTCTGCCATCAGAGCTGGGTGTGCACATTTGAGGCTTTGACTTAGAGCAACCTGGTGCGCCATGGCCAAGAAGGGGAACATTTCGAAGACGCTCGACAGCCGTGCTTTAGACCTGTGGGCTGCAGTGTTGCATTTGCCCGCATTGGTAAGTGTCGCAAGCTTGGCACCATTACCAGTTGGTACCGTTGTCCCAATTCACTTGATCAATTCCGCTTGAACAAGGAAAGAAAGCTGATCAGAAGGCCTATACAGATTGGGAGCAGGAGAAGTGGTTAGCAGAACATACGTTGAGGCGCTCGACACAGAAAGGTGCCTTTTTCAGCTGGTACGACGTGCAGCTGTTTTGACTTGTTTCGACATTTTTTCTTCCTGCAACACCAAGCCACTACATGCCGGCACGCTGTGTGTCCTCTTGGCGAGGCTTTCCGAGGGCCTTTACCCCTCGCGGCTTGGAGAATGCAACCCCTCGCTTCGAGGACAGGCGAGGTGAAGGGTGGCACCTGTCAAACCTCTTCGGTTTATTAACTTCCAGATTCATTACAAAAGCTGCCGCGGAGGTTTGCAGAAGATGAACCTGCTACATTGGATCCGAGGCTTCCACGCCCTGCAAGTTCTTTGGCAGTTGTCAGCAGACATTGGCGCTCAAAACATCTAACCCCATGGAGGTCAACCTGCCGTTTTGAGAGTGCCATGGTTGGCTTGTGTCTTTATTCATTTTGTTTGGCTCGTTCGCATTCCACGACCTGTTCGAATGAGCAAAACGATGGTGAAGAACAGACCAAGACTCTGAGACGATCCTCGATTCCTCCACTCTTGTAGTCCCATGGACCCAGCAGCCAAGTGGTTACAGTAAGCCTCTTGTGATAGGCCTTTTGTAGTTGTTGGACTAGTCCACCCCGCCAGACCAAGAAGACAGGTTTCATGAATTCATGACTAGTGGACTAGTGGTGCACTATTTGCTGGTTCTAAGAACACGTTCAAGGAACTGGCCAATGGTCTTCCATTCATGTTCAATTTTTCCTTCGGTGCCTAACAGATGCGGACTGCCCTCTCTAGAGCTTCGGCTTCTTGCTTTGAACGCCTCATTTCGTTGGGTCATCAGAATTCAATGGAGACTCTTAGAAAATACATTGCAAACGGCAAGACATGGTCTCAGACCATTTCAGACCTGTTCCGTCAAGCAAGCTTTTGTCGATTTGGTATGATTTGGCAATTTGGCACTCGAGCAATTTGGCGCCCTCCGAAGACTGTCTCATGCTCATCTCAGAGATATTTGTGTGACGCTAACGCTAGAAAGATGCCGCAGCCAAGGCTTGCCAGACCTCCGAAAGTACCCAGTCAGTCAGCAGGAAGCAATGTGGAAAGATGCAAGGATGGAGGTCGATTTGAACTTGACTTCACTCAATTGAGGTGATTGCTGTAATTTACTTGAAGACAGTATAAGAAAGACACATGCTTCAAAAACCGTTTCGGAAAAGCGCCAACAGCAGCTCAAATTGGATTTCGTTCGAGGCCTTCGATGGGAACGTTGATGCATTAGGCCTCAAAAGTATGGGCGCCGCAGCCTGGATGCATGATTAACTTAATGTTTCTCGAACAAACGAAGCAGGCTTGATACAGCTGAAAGATCTGAAAGGTAGGACTTTCATTAATTTTAAATAAAGATCTTAAATTAGTCGAATATATTTTAGTTACTTTTTTGGCTATGTCGTGCAGAGCGGACACATGCACTATCATGCACTTCTTGTGCCACAGAAGAGCCCAGCCAGGATTTGATGGGCATTGACATGCTTGACATGATGCTTGCCTGACGGTGTGTGGGTGGGTGGGTGGGTGCAAGATCAGTGTGATGTGTGAAACTGACCCACATCATCAAGCTGAAGAATGTGACTGTTGCTTAGGAAGTCTCTACATAGAATAAGCTCACAGAGCAGTTTGAGAACGAGGTGAGATACAGCAGACAATGGAAAGACCTGTTTGCAACTGAGGA